AGGAGGAAGCAACATCACGTGTATCGAGTATCGACTAGTGAGGTAATGTCTATATCTCGGTCTGTGCACATATGTTTTATACACAAACTATGTTACGTAAACTCAAAACGAAGTCTTACAACTTTATGCTTTTCAACAACGTTATTCAACATCGACCAACGACTACAAGCATAAATTACTCCCCAAATTCTAATTTAGTAATTGAAGAGTAGGGCGCAAGTTGTTGGGTGTAAATGAGTTCACTAGTTAGTCACTACCGGAACGTGGTTCATAAAGCAGAAGTTATGCAGATTCGAGGCATGTTCAGTCAGTCGCTATTATTTCTTCGCTTCATGGAGCTTTTACTAGTCTCTGACAGTGAACATGGAGTCGCAAGTCATGGCACTGACCATGGACTTCAATATAACTATTGACCACCGACAAACAGTCTTAACCAGCAACGCCGTCCGATTTGTGGGTTAACCACCGACCGACGACCTCAACACCAATTTATTAACAATCAACGGTTTAGCACGTCAACCGACTTAACATATTTCTAAAGGAAATATGACTAAGGACCGACATGACGTCCATCAACCGACTTAACATATTTCTAAAGAAAATATGACTAAGGACCGACATGACGTCCTACTATGGACCAACGAAAGACAGGCCCAGTCCAACAAGGACTAGGGTTTACAGAACCTGTATATACGAGAGTCCCAACACAAAGAGGGGGATCATAACATCACAAGCACACGCAAAACCCTAGAATACTAAATTCTTGCTGCCTTTCAACGACGAGCGACAAGAATGACGAGTGACGAACGATCGACACGATCATCACCTTGCGATTTCTTTATTGATTCTTTGTAATTCTTATCGAAACTCATTGATCAATAAAGCTAACGACTTCCGTCATTCCGTAGTACTTTTCTATTCGATCCGGTTAAATTTTGCACAAACAAAAATTAAGCCGATGGATTTGAAAGTATCCACATTAACTAATTTTAGGAAAATAGACATATCTCAAGGAGCAAAGCCAT